TCTCTCTCTCTCTCTCTCTCTCTCTCTCTCTCTCTCTCTCTCTCTCTCTCTCTCTCATTCTCTCATTCTCTCTTTTCCATTCTCTCTCTCTCTCTTTCTCTCTCTATCCGTAACGGTGGCGGCTATGAGAAGACCGCGGAAGAAATTGAGTTTCTTTTTAAATCTTCGTTTCGTTTTTCCTCCATCATCTTCATCTCCTCTTCCTTCTCGTCTCTTCGGGAAAGGGGCTTTCGCTGAAATCGTCGAAATGAACGCGTTCCTCCCATTAATTGAGCGAAAGTGATGATCCTGCATTCGGAATCACGACTCGCACTTTCAAGACGATCAGCCGCGTTCATCGTCGCGAGGCTCGGAGCGTCGAGCTCTGCGGGCCGAGATTCGATCTCGCGAAAGATCGGAATCTCCTGTGAGACGATGTCCTGTGTATGTGTGTGTGTGTGTGCGTGTGTGTGCGCGTATGTGTGTGCGTGCGCATGTGTATGTGTGTGACGCGCGAGGACGACTCGTTCGCAATTGATTCGCGTAGACCGTACTCCATATACGTTCTGAGAAAAAGCTTAACATCGAGAAAAATATGGGGGTATATATTATCTCCTATGTGTCGTTCAGTCGAATTCGAAATAGATTATATTCATGCGCCACGTTACGCAGCTCGCGGTAGCACGCAAAGAGAACGCTCATTCTCTAAAAAGTCACTTTCCCATTCACGAATTGGCCGACTCGGTCCTTTTCAGCGTTTCGCGGCGGGTACCGATTGTAAGACGGGGCTAAAGTCCGCGGGGCCGCGCGCTGGTTGGACCTGGAGAGGCGCGCTACCACTTCGAGGATTCCCGGGACCTCCCAGGGTTCCCTCTGTTCATCTGGAGTGCTCAATGCCATCCGCGAACGCTTGAATTTGTATTTTAATTATTCCGACCCTCTCGCGGCGCTCGACGTATACCAGCACGATCTCCCACGCGAGAAAAAGAGCCTGGCTGAATTAGCGTGACATGTTCGGTTAGGCAAGCTTTGATGAAGATAAACAGACTTTCTGGTCGCTATGAGATGTTATGTATTATGTATTAACGAGATGGCTAAACGACTTTGTTGATGGAACTAAACAGAATTTCTGGTTATTACAATCGAGTGTTCCGGCATTCAACGCTGGTTACAATGTGAGTAGACAATTTAAGAAACAACTTTCAGGTAAAAGAATAATAAAATAAAAAAGTAAGAAATATGAGTGTAATTTTTATTATTGTAATATCAAATAGTTACCTTAACCAAAATTATGCTTCGTTCATTTCCTTAGCAAACAATCCCACTGATGTCTCCTGAATTCAGATTAATTCGACCAATCTTTTTTCCGTGCATGAGGCATAATTTTGCGGAGGGGCAGAATTTGCTGGTTTTGATCAACGATGAAATAATCTCCCTCTTACCCTGATAATCTTTCCGTCCGATTGCAAAATTCCATTCGACGGCATTGAACGGGCAACAAGTTGGAACTGAATGCGCTCGTTAGTCGGCGAGGAATGCGTGCATGCGTGAGTCTCGTCTATCAAACATAGAAAAGGGCTGGGTCGAGTGGTGGGTCACGAAATGAATGGACTTCTTGTACGATCTCACGTGAGCGGGTAGCGCGCCTGTGCTCCACGGATCCATTCCGACGGATTATTTACAGCTTTCCTCTTTCTTTTTTTTTTTTTTTTCTTTCGTTTCAAGCACGGCGACTCTTCTCTCGGCGAGGACGAGTTAAAAAGCGACCGAGCCGGCGGATAAACTTTGCGTATAATAGTAGTAATAGGCCATAATTCCTAAGTCGTAAAGTATGAAAAGTATCAACAAATTTGAAAAATTCTCGTCTCCACCCCGTTAGGCAATTATCTTCTTTCGTTAACGCGAACGGCTCGCCCGTTCGCTAAGGACTGTCTCTTACATTGCCTAGGAATTTGACTTTACAACAATCGCGATCGGCCGCGCTTACGCCCCCACTTAATAGATCCCCTTCCTTGACTAAAGGCGAAGAAATCGATATAATTCAATTAATAATTGACAGATATAACCAATTAATACGTATAGGATGGTCCTACGGCAAGAAGGCGTAAACTCCTAAGATTCAAACGACATAAACTTTTCTAATTTTAACATCGCCACGGACCATCCAGTACATTGATTGTAGTTACTTCTCGCGGTATACCTCTTTTAATCTACGCTTCTCTCCCCTCTTCGTCTTCATATAATAGAAATCGTGTGTGTCTGTATGTATAACTTCTCCTGCCAAATGCGTGTTCGCGATGAGGAAGTTTCTCTCCCTCTCTCTCTCTCTCTCTTTCTCTCACGATGTTTTGCCGTTTGCCTTCCTCTCTCGCTCTCTTTCCCTTCGTCATCCGCGTGCATTCGGCATTCGAGAGAGTACCACTTGCAAGCACAATACTTATATGTGTATGCGTTATTCACCGTTCGAACGCGCGCACATGCCGCCGTGCGCGCGCCCCGAGTGAAGATTCCGAAATCTTAAATAGTTAACAGTAACATCGGCGTGAACATTGTACAGAATGATCGAATGACGCGCGAGAGGCGAGATCTCGCACGGCTGCATCGCGAATCCCCGCGCTTCGCGCTGAAGGTCGACAAGACGTCGGCGAGATCGCGGCTACCTGCCATTCATAGGAAGGTAAACAACAAAAGAAGGTGTCTCGCTATCGCGTGACAGGAAAACCCCTGTGCTCGTTAGCCGAGCAATAGCGTTCTCTCTCTATATCTGCATGTTCGACTATGAGAATTCGGCCATCACGAGGCCGAATTCCTTTCAGCTGAACTCGTGCAAAAATTGGTTCAATAAGTTATAGCGAGACAGATAATATCTAGAACTTATTGCACCAGTTCAGGCAGTTTAGCTGAAAAGAACAAACCTCTGAGAAGGCGAAAAATCACGTGACTTGGTAGACGGAAAATTTAACTGATAATTCGATTTCAAGGCGCAACGCGGCCCTCCGAGAGGACTCCTTCGCATGAATGACAGTCGTGTCGGATTGTCCACGCACTCGCGTGCGTTGTTTCTAACAAAGCCTGATACTTCGTCGTCCCGTCGACGTTCGTTCGCTCAGCAGGGAGGAGTTCGCGAGCCGCGTAATTTGTCGTCGAATTTGCGAAATCTTACAGCGAAAAGGAGAGAGAGAAGCGCGGCTCGCGGCGCGTCCTTCCGGACGAACGGCTCCGTGCTTCCGGGGGTGGCGAGGCAGTCCCGCCGTGGGACACCCGCCTCTCGTCGAGTGAAGTATGCACAGTAGTGTGGTTCACAGTTACAAAACTAACTAAATCTTACGAGATACGGTGAGCAATAATTCCAGATATGTACAGAAGTTATGTTACAGATATAAAGATACGCCCCGCGGCGATGCGAATGCACACGCGTGGGTGTGTGTATGTGTGTGTGTGTGTTGGTGTATTTATATATGTGTACGCGTGTGTATGTACGCGTGCATTCGCAGCCGGGGGCTTTTAGCTTCTCAACGTGCGACGATCAGTGTCGTTAGTCAATAATTTCCCCGTCAACGATAACGCAAATCGTCAAGAGCCTCTCCTTCGCGGATCGCTCATCCCGACGACGCAGAATAGACGCGGCCCAGTCTGTAAGTGTGCAGCCTTCGTTTTGAAATTGTCTTAATAATTGATAGGCTACCCTGTTTCGTTATCATTATGAATGGTATCCCCTATATTTCCCCGTTACGCATCAGCGCGTATTCCCAGGATACGCTTCCCTCTCGGTCGCACTACGCAAGTCGAGGATCGATCGCGCCGCGAATCGTTCCCGTGTAGGCGCAGACGAAGAGAGGATTCCGGAAGAAACGGGCATGTCTCTTGTAAACTTTGCAGAGAGCTGAGCGACCTCGGGCTTAGAATTTTGTCCGGCACGGCTCTCCCGGGTCACCGTGTTTAAACGCGTCTGTGTGGGTTTTCGAATTTACCTGGCGAGACGACTCGACATTCGGCGGATTACAGTCGCTTCAGTTTCCCCCGTTTTTGATTCTGCACTAGTCGAGTTTCTTTTCCTGCGGTAACACACTCTGGTAATTTGTCCCTTGACACGCTACACGCTTTTCAGAAAGAATATGATCGAGGGATTATTTATATTCTATTATATATATATATATATATATATATATATATATATATATATATATATATATATATATATATATATTTATATATATATATATA